AACACCCCCGGGGGGGGGGGGGGCACACTGTGACAACCAAAGTCTAGCCCAGAAACATGAAACCAAAGTAAACAGCAGTCTCAGAGCAGATGGAGGAACAAGACGTTATTTTTTATACATTCCAGACAACAATTTTAAAAATCCGGCTTTTTAAGCTTAGAGCATTGGATGCCAACAGCCCTTATTTCCTGCACAAGGACATGAGAAATCCAGGGGGGCAGGAGTGGGGTCTTGTCTCTCCTGAGTAACAAGGGTACATATCACACATAAATGCGGTGGCACTGACGGTTACTGATTTTTTTCAAACAAACAGGGCACGTTTTAGTATATTTAAGGGAGGTGAGGAGGCACTGACTACAGAAGACATGGCCACATACAGTAGAGTAGACGTGTCGTCTACTTAGTTCAATCTCTGAGTATCCATCCATGCAAATTTGACAGTGGATATAACCAGGTAGTACGTGTCTTAAAGTTTCTTCTGGGGAAATATGGTGGGCACTGTTGGTCACACATTTATCTCTGTCTCTCATCAAGCCCTCCTCATTACTGCTCCCTGTGTAAGTGCCAGTTTGCTGTTGGCATGGCCTCTCGTTTCTCCTTGGCCTCCTTCTTGGTTCTGTAATCACAACAGAGTCCTGGTGAGTTAGATCAATCACTACAGGTTCTAGAGATTCACAGGTGAGATCAACTACTTCATCACTCTCCCCGAGTACTATCAGTTCTGCATGCAAGGCCATGTCAGGATTTGGGCCTCCTTCCCCAGCAGTAGGGAGTCCCCAGGCTTGTCTGGAATTCATCATGCCGCTATAGCATATTCTTGTATTCCTTATGCTGGTTATATTCAGTGTTCGGACAATTGTGATCTGTGCCAAAGTTAACAGCAAACATTGACGTACTCAGTGTCTCGCAGCTGCTGGTCAGTCACTTTCTGACTTACATAAGAATTCAGAGCTCAGATTTTCCAGTATGCTTGAACTCTGTTTCTGCTTCCAGTCCTGTCCTCCCCTCCACAATTGCTGTGCTCCCATGGAGCATGAATCTTCTGGGAGCCACTTACAAGACAGCTCGATCTGAATTTTTCACTGAATGGGAAATGAAAGAAAAGTTAAGCATTGTCTAAAATAAGATTGCTAATAATACTGTATAAAATGTGTTTACACACATATACACATACACACACATATGTATATATGTCAGAAAAGTCATGATGTATTTTTCTAAGCTTTTCTGTGCAAAAATGTGTCATGACTTTTTCAACAACCCAAAATATATAGAAAGTGTTTACTCAAAAAAATTTGTTTTATTATACACTCAAAGAAAGTTTGGAGACCACTGCTTTTGAAACTGAACATCCCTCCCCACTCAGCGTCTTGAAGGTGGTGGGGAAAAGGAAAGAACTCAAGGGATGCTTACATAAAGAGAAGCACAACATTGGGACCAGCAGTTAGCATAATGGCTATGTCGCTGGACTCCCACGTAGTTGACCATGGTTTGAGTCCCGGACCCGGTGGCTTAAACTCAGGCCAGGCGCGTGTGCGTGCGTGCCCAAGATCCCAAGAGAAGAATGGAGAAGAAGGGATTGCAGCGTGGCCATCCTCCCTGGGGGTGATTTCTCGCTTTCTATCTCTCTGTCTCTCTCTGTCTGTCTGGCGAGCGCACGTGCCCTATAGCAAACACGTCTCCAAAAAAAAAAAAAAAGAGAAGCACAACATCATTAACCACCAAAAGTCACTACTTCCTCCAAGAGGATCTCAAAAAAGCACTTACATTTTTATAAAGTAAAAACAGACCAAAACACTCTGTACACATTCTAGCTGCTTCTAGCAGCTAAAAAGACATGTAATCTACTTGAGGGTTCATTTTGCCCAGCCTTCTCTTTATAACAAAGACAATGAATGGAGTTTTTAAGAGTTTTCTCCAAGATTCTGTTGTAGAAAAGAGGCTATGGAGTACAAGCATTGGCCATGAAGATTTGGTTTGAGTCTAGGCTCTGTGACCTAGAAGTCATTTAAGGTCTCAAAACTTCAGTAAATCCTTCTGAAAAGTTAATTATTGTGTAATTTTTTAAAATAATGCATTATTAGTTATTAGAGAAATGCAAATCAAAACCATGAGTTACCATTTCATGCCTACTAGATTGGGTAGAATAAAAAAGGCAGGGCCCAGCTGCGTTGGCACGTGCTGTTCAGATGCTATGCTGTGCAGGCTGGGACCACATGGGAGATCTGATCCCGCCAGTTTGCTGTTGGCATGGCCTTGCATTTCTCCTTGGCCTCCTCCTTTGTTCAGTAATCACAACAGAGTCCTGGTGAGTTAGGTTAATCACTACAGGTTCTAGAGATTCACAGGGAAGGTCAACACTTTGCCACTCTCCCTGAGTAACATCAGTTCTGCATGCAAGGCCATGTCAGGAGTTGGGCCTCCTTCCTCAGCAAGGATCCAACCTAAAGACTGGACACAGTAATGTGCCTCTGTAATCCCAGCAACTCAAGAGGTTGAGGCAGGAGAATTACAACATGAGTGAAACTCTGTTAAAAAAAAAAAAAAGACATAGTAAGTGTTGGCAAGGTGTAGAAAAATTGGAATTCTCACACACTGCTGGTGGGAATGTAAAATGGTGAATGTACTTTGGATGCAGCTTTGGAAGGCAGACTGGCAGTTCCTTGAAAGGTTAAACATAGAGCTACCATGTGACCTAGCAATCCCACTCCTAGACATACACCTAATAGAGTTGAAAATGTATGTTCACACCAAAAACTTACACACGAATATTGAGGACAACCTTATTCATAATAGCCAAAAAGTAGAAACAACCCAAATGCCCATTAATTAATGCATGGATAAACAAAACTTAGTATATCCATACAGTGAAGTGTTTGTTATTCAGCAATGAAAAGGAATCAAGTGTTGAGGCTTGCTACGATATGACCTTTGAAAGTAGAAGCTAGTCACTACAGAACACATATTGTAGTTTCTGTTTATAGAAGATATCAAGAACAGGCAAATCCATAGAGACAAAATGATCGGTGGCTTCCTAGGAAGGGGGATACTGGGGAGAAATAGGGAGTGACTGCTAATGGGTACACGGTGTCTTTCAGGGGTGATTAAAAATGTTCTTTAGGGACCAGCAGATGGCGTAATGGTTATGTCACTGGGCTCTCAAGTTCTAGACTGGGGTCCAGTCCTGGACCCAGTGGCTTAAAACTCACTCTGGGCACATGTGTGTATGTGCCCAAGATCCCTAGAGGAGAATGGAGGAGAAGGGATTGAGGAGTAGCCATCCCCTCTGCGGGGGTGGGGGGGGGTGGGGGGGGGATTCCTCGCTCTCTGTCGTTCTGTCTCTCTCTGTGTCTCCCGCAAGCGCAGGATCCTAAAGCAAAAATCTCTCTAAAACAAGTTCTTAAATTGGGGTGATGGTTATACAACTCTGAAAACATACTAAAACTCATTGAGTTGTATACTTTAAATGTGTGAATTGAATCTCAATAAGCAATCAAACATGTAAACTGGCAGAAATGTTACCCGATACCGTGTGAGTCTACCTGGATTCAGACACACATCCTACAATCTAAAGGGCGACGTGGAGTCCCAGATGAAAATGGGCGGGGCCGTGCTGCGCACGCACCTACCTACGACCTAGACAGGCCTTCCCTAGACCCCTGTCACCTCGCAGGTCACTGTCCTCAACTGTTCGCCTTTCGTGACCCACCTGCCTCCTCTCCTTCCTGCTCTGTCCTGGGAAAGAGAGTCGGGCTGGGTAACCCCATAAAGCAAGTGCCACCACCATGGCCTCCACGGGCCCCGCCCTACTCCTGTCCCGGCTAGTCCCGTCCTGACTGCTATTCAGCCATGAGACCAAAAACCGTTTGCCCCTTCCCCACCCTCTTAGGTGTTCCAGTCCCAGCTGGAGACCACAGCGAGCCCAGCCCAGGTGCCCAGCTACACTCGGCTGGAGAGAGAACCGGGGAGAGGCGGGTGCCGGGGTGCGGGGAGGAGCCCGGCAGAGCAGTAGGATCGAGAGGGCGAAGCAGAGGAGGCGGGCAGCGTGGCAGACGCTCACGGTGGAAGCGCCC